TCATTGGATGTCAAGATGAATATTTATTTCCTCGCAAAACCATCACCTACTACTCGCGTCGATCATAAGTAGAGTGGAAAGCAATAGGCAAAGGCAAGCGAACTATGAAAAGTTTCTCCGGTCAAATCTATTGAAAGGACTTCGAGAAACTAGTTATAAATAGCAGTGCGAGTTGGAGCAAAAATTGATTGGAGGATTGATTGATTGGCGAGGCAGTCGTAATCATGTCCGAAATATCCGCAGTCTTCTTTCTTGTTGCATGCCATTCCCGTCTGGGGTACATCGGTTCTGGGACTGGAAAGATGGTTTTCAAAACAGACAACTTTCTGATTTCATGTATGATCACAAACCGATCACTAGTGTAGACGCAGGCTAGTTTGAAATAAAGGGTCTTTGGATCAGGTCCCAGGTGGGCACATCCCATATAAGGTGCATATGGGTGCATAAGCTGGAAAATTTAGAAGGTTTCATATGAAAGCAGTTGATGAGTGTACGGTAGAACCCTACTCGTGTCCTTGAGTCGTACTCTTTGGTCCATTGGTCCACCACATCTGCCAACTCATACATCCAATTAGCAGCCTTTATAACTGGGCTAAATGATATCAAACTAGTTTTCTGGAAAGAAGTGATGAGAAAAAGTCGCTACCCTTCTTTGTAATTGATGGAATATCCGCTCATTGGATAGCTTGGACCATAGTTTAGCACTTCCCTCGCCCTTTGTTCCAGGTCGCAATCGTATGTCTGCAGGTGAAGTGTATATTTGTGAGCTTTTTACTTTTTTTTCAAAAAACTAAACTTTTTCCACCCATTCAATGCCAAACCGAACCGAGCTCATAGAGCATTCATCGCTGCTTCACTGCACAGCAGAGGTTCATTGTTAGCGTTCCCCCCTCCCCACATTCTCCTGGATCAGTACGTAAGGAAAGCTGATTTGACTGCACTCAAATTCCCCGCACACAGCGCGCACTCTTTAATTTGCAAGCTAATCCTTTCCTATGGTGATGTGCAGCATGTTTGTGTGACATAATCAATGAGAGAATGTGAGGAGCATATGAGCTGTCATCTGCTCCTCACTTTTCTATAGTCACCACTTTTTTCCAATGGTGCTGTGTATTTTTTCAGCAGTTCTACATTTCTTGACCTTATCATTGCGGAACACTCTAAAACCTTTAGAGTTCTGAAGGTCAAAGCCAGCGATTGCGTGGGTAGCTGCTTTCGATGAAGAGCTTGTGGTCGCAAGGGTGAGTTCAGGGGTGAGTATTCAGGGGTGAGTATAGCAAAAAATCAGGCACTCCCTAAATGAGGATCTCCAGCGGCCCCATCGCCCCTCCGGGTGGGCTCTTTTCAAGATAGCAGAGCTATACCGTCCCGCTGAAGGCTGACTTATCCTTCGTTCGCATCACTTCGATATCATGATATCTAAATATCATTTAGCAGTGAAAATACAATGAGAGACCCGATTAAGAGACTAATCGAGTTACAGGAAACAGCCCTGGGATGCGCCTTGTGTAAAATTGAGAGGTGAGTGTACCACCACTGCACCAAAGCAATCACATCATCAGTGAATTACCTGGCGAAATGAACTGTTTGACTGTACAAGCACATCAACGAAAATAGAATTACTCGTGACCACAGACAGGATCGGCAAAACGGAGTGGAGGCAGCGAGACTCTA